AGGAAGAAAATAGTTGACCCAGATGTGATTCTAGTCTTTGAAAACAAGCAGTTTTATGTAATCCATGCCAAGCAAGGAAGTAGGAGACTTGGGAGATGTGTGTGATTTAATAATGCTTATATTGATGTAAATAAAGATTTATTTAAAAAGTTACCTCAGACCTGAGTGTTAGTTGACCACCAAAGAGCTTCTTGGGAATCCTGAGGCCCACATTGCCACCCCCACTCACTTTCTTCCCTTCCCCCATTTTTTCAGAAGCCAGAGGATGCCTGCTGCATCTTGCACTGTAGTGCAAACAGATCCCCGCAAAGAGAGAGGAAGATAAAATGAATTTAAATTCCAAAGGGGTTCCAGTGCCGGTTTCCTAGTCCCCGAGTCAGCAATGTGTTTGTGAAAATTCAGCCTTTTTGTCTCCCAGTAAAAAGGAGCTAAATCTACATCGGTGGCCCAGTCTCGGGTTGCTATTCTTTGCATTTTCTATTCGAGTGAATGAGAGTGAATGAAGTGGCCGGGACCCTTCATTTGATCTACTCAATTGCATAAAGTGACAGAATTCTAATATATTTGTTTAATGCTCTTCAATGGGCTTTCACTTTTTTGCTTGCAAATGAAGCATCCGTGGGCAAAGTTTCATCCCCCTTTAACACTGGGACATATTTCATAACTCAGGCTGTGGTTTGAAGTGATCTTGAGAGGAGTTTTAGACTCAAAAAGTGGAAAATAAAGAAACAGATGTGAAGTTATTGTAAATTCCTAGAGTGGGCTCTGGGGCTATTGTGCCCCCACGGCGGGCGGTCCAGGGGCTGTGCCTTTCATGCTGTAATTGAAACATATTAATTAGATAATTTGTTGTTAGTTTAAACGAAACAAATGCATCCCCTTTGAGGCTTCACAGCCGGTGGGTTGGGTTGTTTTTGTTTTGTTTTTGTTTGAGTGTCTCAGTGCGTATGTGGCTTCAGGGGAAAAAAATTAATTGACATTTATATTAAGAATTTGAGAACAGATCCTGGTCCATTTCGTTTCTTAAATGGATACCTTTAAAAAAGAGAGTTTCTATTGGTAAATGTATAAACCATGCCCCCACCCCAACCATGCATACGCTCAAGTAAAACCTGTTTTCGGCACTCCATTGGCTTCTTCCTCCCACCCACCCCTCAACTTCACCCCACTCGAGTACCTGGCCAGATTTATGCTTCCAATACGCTCAACGCTCTTGTCTATTTTAAAGGAATTAAACTCACTGGTATAATATTTAAATCATTCTAAGGATCGTTTATTAGCATTGCTCCTGTTAGTCTCCAGGCTTCTCAAAATCCCCACTCAGGCAACAGCAACAGTGAGAACTTCTGTAGCTTCTCTCTTGAGAAAGTGCACAAAATTCACCCATTGTGCAAGCATTTCCCCAATCACAGAGAAAGCCATTTAAAAACACAATTGAGTACAGAATCATGTTAAAAACCAAAAGTAACAGGACAGCCAAGTTTCCAAATCAAAAGCCTAATTTAAAAAAAGGCCCATGTTTGCAAAATAGAAAATAGAAGTTAACTCGGTCTTCTGGATAAGACCCCAATATATATCTCACTGCATAATGTTGTCTCTTCCAGTTTTATTTTAAAGCTGTGTGTATTGACTTTGGACTTGAGCCAGGTGAAAAGATTTAACATGACAAAGAGAGCCATTGAAGGTATCATAGTTATAAACTTCCTTGTTTGTGGGGGCACTTCAGCTAAACAGGGCTCAAGTCTCAAAGCTGGGGATGGAGCAGGGTGGAGACGGTTGTTTGGGATTGCCTTTGGATTTCTGATCAAGGTCAAAATATCATCAGTGGATTTTTTACTTTACTCATTCAACTTTGAGAAAAGATGTCTGCAGTTGTGAAAAGAGGGCTCACAATGCCCAAGTTATTTCATTCTTTGCAGTATACCATGACGAGCTTACTAGCTGAAAAGAACACTTTCAGATAGTGAGTTGAAAATCACTCCTTTGCTAAAAATCAGAAATAGGATCTGCATCTTACTTACCCACATTTATTAAATGTATGCATGTGTATATATATATATATATATATACATATGCATTTTACTGCCTATTATAGGACAAATATTTTACCTGATTATCTAAGCTGGTAATTTATAAAATTTTTAAGGCTCATGTTAGCCCTTTATGTTTCCTTCATTCCCAGTTTGAATTCAGTGTTAGCAAATTCAATGAGATTAGAATATTCCAGAAATGGCTTTAATTTTATTTTGCAGGAAGTAATGACAATGTATTTAATTTCTTTTAATATAGATGATTTCTTGTTGAGAACAAAGTTTCAAGAGTTTCATAGCTCAGGGTGGATAAGTTTTCCAGGCTTTCTTTTGCTGATCTTGTTGATATAATTGTGAATTGGGCTTGATGAATGAGTTTAGTTGTCCCCTGTCTGACGAGCTTTAGTAGCTTCATGCATTTTAATCAGTCCAATGATTCATTTATTTTCCACTTTTTTTTTTTGGGCTGTGTGTGGGATCCTTCCTTTTAAAAAATGCTCACAACAGGATTAATTACCCTTTGCATTAATCCTAATTTTTTTTCCAGATAACCCTCTAAATATGTAAGGGTCGCAGGTGCTAAGTATTCTCCTTATGGAGTTATAGTGATCATGATTTTTGTGTGGGTTTCTCTGTACTGCACAAAGGTCTTTGTTTAATCATATTACACAGTAAAGTGTTAATCACCATTTAAATTTTTCTTTGTCTTGTAACTTCATTAGTTGAACACACACCTCACTCTGGAAATATCATGACCCCTTCAGTAAAGTTTCAGTTGGCCTTATGCCATAAATTCCTGGCAAATTGTAATTATCTCCAAAAATCTGAAGAAAAACAAATACTTAGAGTTAAGCATTTAAATTAACTTCATTTTCTTGCCTAAAATAAATTCATCGAGCATTATTTTCCTACCTGAAGGAGTGAAAAGAAATCTGTTCTATTCAAAGTGAACAGGTTTCTTGACATGCAAGGTGAACTTCTAGGTAACTCCTGAAAAGGAAAATTTCCACAACTGAAGTAATTTAAAGGAACAAGGAAATGAATACTCTAAAATAAGGTGCATCAGAATATGAGCACTGAATAAACAAGTCTGTTTTTACTTTTTGTGTCTCCATATAGCCTCTACCTGGTTTCTACATAAGCCTTACATTCAATATATTTTGTAAAATGTAACTTTTCAGATAGACAAAAATACATAGAGAGTATTTCATTTTTCTAGTGACAGTTTTTCAGCACTAGTGCGTCTGATCTATTCTAGAAATAGTTTCCTCTTTCCCTCTGATTCAGGAGTCCATTTGAATAATTTCTTCCCCAATCTGTAAGTGCGTAAGAGGAGATGTGACTATTTTAGAAATAAGATATTAAAAAGACAAACTATTCAGACAACATATTATAAAAAGCATATTAGAGAAGTACTACATCTATCTTTTGTAAAGATATTGTTTGCAGCAACTCTTCAAAAACACACAAAACTAAAATTTGGATTTACATATTTTAATGAGAAAATATTATTTGGACTAGATTCATAATTTAATGTAGACACCTTTTTAAAATTCTTTGTCTTAAAACAGGCATGCTGGGAACAAGAACATCAATATTTAAAATGCCATGCTAATTTTGAACAGAGAAGGAGAAAAATGAAAGGTAAAAATTTTACAGCCCTGATGACACTACAACTTTTTTTTTTTTTAACTTAAGCAGGTCACACCAGAACAACAGTTCGTTTTCCAGCAAATTACCTAAGACTCTAAAGGAATATAGCAAACAAAAGTGCATTTTACACAGTGTATAATCATTCCTATTCACAAGCATTTACATCTCTTTGCAGCCCTTTAGCTTCTTGGGAAAGTTCTTGTGGCAAACAGAAAGACTTGTCCATGGGAGACCTATCCGGTGACATCTCCTTCACGTTACCAGTCAGCTATCTAAGTTCTCGGGTTGCCCTTGATGCTTTCTTAGTTTGGGCTAATTTCATTTTCACTTTCTTTTTTTTTTTCTTTCCTTCCAACAATAAAATAAATAGCTAAAAGGTCTCTAAGTAGTCGGAAAGTTAACATCCCAATTAACTTTCCCATCCCCCCATCCCTCCCCTAAACCTGGCCAGAAATGAAGAGTAAACATTCACATTACAACAGGTACTTGTAAAGTGGGCTTTGCCCGCTCGCCCGCCAAGCAATACAGATTCAAGTTCACTGTTTACATTTTACCGGGCGCCTTTGTAAACAATACTACAAGGTTACTTTTAGTTTTGTTTTGCTCGTGTTGAGGACGAGCGTCCCCTTCTCAGTTTGGCAGCCTCTCCCCTAGCTCCCAGAGCCTGGAGCCTCTGGCAGGAAACAAAACCCAAAACAAAACTCCGCAGAAGCTGGGGAGGCAGGGCCGCTACTCCGGGAAGCTGTGGTCCGCCCAGCCCCTGCCGGATGGGCGGAGGCGAGCGGGGTAGGAAGATTAGTGGTCCCTTTTCCCGGCAGATTTCCAAGGCGTAAAGGAGATCCGGCCCTCCGCCGTGCGGCTGCAGCCCTCAGGGAAGATCTGTTCGAGGAAACCTCTGAGACGGGTTCTCTTGTCGTGGAACTCACTGCGCGGAGTCCGGGGACCCGCCGATCCCAGCCGAGGGAAGACGCGCCCCTCTCCGCGCAAGCGGGAGGCAGGATTTCCCCAGTCCCCTGCCTCTTAAATGGGAGGGGGGTGTCGGGGGCCCGGGGATCGGAGGGCTTGTCTCAGGTGCCCCCTGTCTGCCCCTCTTGTGGAGGCGAGGACAGCTCCCACGCGCCTCCAGGCCATCTGCAAGTTTGTGTTTTGTCTCCTGGGTCCAACAGAGTTCTCGTGGCGGGGGGAGAGAGGGCTGGCCGAAGGTGAAATGGACAAGTTAGGGCGGCGGTCCTAGGTGGGGAAGGGCAGGACTGGGAAGCAGGGAAGGCGCATAAGCTGGCGGGGAGGGGAACAAGAGGGGGCTCCGGCTGCTGCGGGTCAGTGCACCGCCACCGAGTGCAAGGCGGAGGCCGGGCTGGTGAGCGTCTCACTGGGAGTGGCGGGGCTGCTTTGGCTGGTGGCTGTTTGCGAGGACGTGGGGCTGAGCGAGGGCGGCGAGTTCGAGAGCAAGGTGGGGATGGGCGCAGGCAACGCGGGCAGGGCGGGCACGGCGGCCGGTGTGGGCTTGATGGGCACGGGGATTGCGGGCAGCGTCTGGCCTGCTGCGTGGCACAGCGGCTTCAGGGGCACGCCGTAGGCGCTGTAATCGCCACTAGCCATGGAGATAGGGGTGGCCGAATCGATCATGCCCGCGGAACCGTACACGTGCGGCCAGCCAGTACCCAGCGAGCTGCTCATGGTAGTCAACTGGTTGGGGAGCGGGTAGGCGGCGGGCACGGGCTGCATGGCGGAGAAGGCCAGCCCCCCGGGCATCTTGTACTCGCGAGCGATGATATTCTCGATGGCAAAGGGGTGCTTGAAGCCCGAGGGCTGCGCCACGCCGCCCAGATTGTAGGCGGCGGCGGGCATCTGTGGCAGGTGCGTGCCGGAGGCCGCAAGCGCGCTGAGGCGCAGCTTGGCCTGCTGCTGCAGATACTGCGCGGCGTCGGCGGGCTTGCTGGGCGCCAGGTGGTCGGACTTGAGCACCTTGAAGCGCTTGCGGCGCCGCAGGAAGCTGCCGTTCTCGAACATGTCCCCGCAGCTGGGATGCAGCGCCCAGAAGCTGCCCTTGCCGGGCTGGTCTGGCCGCCGCGGGATCTTGATGAAGCAGTCGTTGAAGGAGAGGTTGTGGCGCAGGCTGTTTTGCCAGCGCTGCGTGTTCTCCCGGTAGTAGGGGAAGCGGTCCATGATGAACTTGTAGATCTCGCTCAGCGGCAGCATCTTCTCGGGCGAGCTCTGGATGGCCATGGCGGTCAGCGAGATGTACGAGTAGGGCGGCTTTTGGTCGCTGTACGTGTTGCGGCCGGGCCGAGGCATCTTCTTGTTTGCCCCCTTCTCGCTCTGGGTCCGCGCGGGCCGGCGGCTGCTAGGATCTGCACAGGGGTGGGGGGGGAGATAATGGGAAGGAGAGGGCCTGGATGCACAGACAGACACCGCGAGGTCAGCCAGGCCGAGCACAGACCAGACGTGGTGGGCAGGGGCTGCAGGGTCAGCCCGCGCCCGCGCTCCTCGCTGGCAACTTTGAGCGTAGAGTTGGGTGCGGCCAGGGGGGCGCGGGAAGGGAAGCCGGTACGCGGCGCGAGGGAAGCATGGAAGTAAGCTGGACCTGGCGCGGGGACTGGGGCAGGGATGCCGCTAGAGAGCTCACCTTAAAGTTGCTCCAAGTTGTGCGTCCGCATCCGGGATGGCACGGCACCCTCGGGTCCCTCCCAGTGCGCGTTGCCGCGTCCGGTCTCGCCGGGCTCCGCACGTCTTGAGCCTCGCAGCTCAGCCCCGCAGCGCCGGGAGCCGACCAGTCCGCCGCGCTCCTGGCCGTGAGATCCCCGGGCGGCCGCGCTCGGCTGCGGAGTCCGGGCGCAGACGGCAGCAGCGGCGGCCTCGGGGCTCCGGAGGGCGCTGCTGTGGGCTCCGCGGCTCCGCTGAGCTAGGTGGCTGCCTCCATGTCCTCCCTCGAACCATCTGATAGTTTTAGGCGGTGACAGGAGCAGAAAAGACCCCTGTAGCGGCGCTTCATTAATGTGCCACTTCTTAGCTATCATATGACAATCGCCTTGGGAGGAGGAGGAAGAGGAGGGGGAGCGGGGGCTGCAGAGGGAGGGGACTGAGCGAGAGGGGAGAGCCTGGCCAGCTCTGGTTTCTTTCACACCTATTTACATGGACACCTTGGCCAATAGGAATCACTTCCAGCTCAAGCCTGGGCGAGGGGGAAGAGCCTCGGCCACCGGTGGTGAGCGGGACGCCGGCCGGGGTGCGCGGTGTGGAGGTATGAGGAGGTGGCGGCCGCGGAGCAGGGATGCAGGCGACCACTCACGTTCACAGACCGAGCTGCCGCGCAGATGATGTTTGACATGGAAATTGCTTGGCTGGGGTATTCTGTTTCCTCTGCATTGTATCGGGTTTGTATTGTTAGCTAACTTAAGGCACGGCTTGCCCCTGAAGCAGACCCTTTTCCTGCGCTTGGCAATACAGGGCTGGTTGCATGGGTTATTATAATGAAAATACACCCTTCCCCCTAGCCCTCCAAGAGGCAGGTCAAAGTTTGATTTGACCTTCCTAGGCTGCTGCCATAGCTTTACACAGTAGGAGTGTATCCTTTACGTGATGGGGTCTAAAAAATACTTACAAAAATATAATCGGACAGCCACTTGTAAAAAGTCCATTTTCTAAATGTATTGGCCAAGTTAAAGGGAAAAAAAATCTCTCTGAGTGAATAGGCAGGGTCTTCACTCTAAAAGTCCTCTAGGAATTTAATTAGACACAGGATGAAGGCTCTGGGGTTGTTGGGGCAGACAGTGTGTGGATCTGGGGGAGGGCCTGAGTTTGTTTGACACACTTTATCACCAGATAAATGGCAGGGTCTCATGCTTTCCCCAGGTGGTTTGAAACTTTAGGAGTTAGGCATTGCATGGAAGTTTGCATTTTACAGCCGGAACTTTCTCCCGTTCTCCATCACTCCCTCCACCACCACCACCACCACCACCACCACCACCACCACCCCACAATAGAGAGAGCCCATCAAACGCTGCCTACAGACCCACTAAAACAGCAGCACCTTCTAGACTCGGAAGAACCGAAGTGTTTTCCTTTGGGGGAGAAAGGAGAGAGTGGGGATGTGCCTAGGGTCCCCCTGCCTGGTGCCAGCAGTAGGCTCCCTTTGTTTCGGATTAGTCTCCGGAGATTCAATGAATTATTCTTATTATCATTATTATTATCATCATCGTCGTCGTGGGAGGCAGTGGCAGCGGCGACGGTGGCGGCGGCAACATCATCATCATCATCATATTGCTATGAAATAGTGAGTCGATCCTGCCAGTGAACACTCAGGCTGGAATAGACACTAGGAGTTCCCACTGATTTCTGCACATTCTCTGACCTTTATGGTTTCTAAAAGAAATTCCTTTTACCTCATTGTTAATAACTCAATCTCTACAGCCCACACTGAATCATCTTCAATCCGGAAATGTAAGAACTTTTTTTGTTTTTTCTTCAGGAGGAGGAGGTGATGGTAGTGGTGGTGGTGGGAGAGTTCTGGGTGTGAAGTTTGGACACTTTTAGTGATATTAGAGCATTGTTAGTAGAGCTGTTTAGAGTTAGCATAAAAATCTTTCAGCACACGTGCGCGCACACACACACACACACACACACACCTCTGTTAACCACAGTTTCGGAGGTGGTCAATAACTCACCAAAACGTAACTTAAACACGATGAATTTAGGAGATTAAACAATTTCATTAATATTGAAATGGCTCTCGCGTCTGGGCTGCCTCGCTTGAGATGCAAGCACACGTTTTTCAATATTAACAGAAGTGCTTGAAGAAAAGAATAATGTCACCTTCTTAATTCGGAAAAAAAATAACCAGGAGGAGGAGGTGGGCTCAAGGGGTGGAGGCGGATCGCTGACCTGTCTCTGGGGGCATGGCTTGAGAAGGGCAGATAAACCCTCTGCAGATAAACCAGTTGGATTCAGGTGGAACCTCTGCCGAGCTTTGGCCGGAGGCAGCAGTACTTGCCTGAGCTGTGCGTGCTTTAGCTAACGAGGTTCAACGTTTTGGGGTGTTATTTGGGGGCAGCCCAATTTGGCTTGGGAGTCCAGGGATGGAAGGAATTGGGGAGACCTGGAGCCTAAGGGACCCCTGATGAAGAATAGTAGTAGCAAGGGCTTGTGTTTTCCAGATGAAAAGGCATTGGTTCACAGCTTTCCTGCTTCAGAAGGCAACTGGCCTCGGAGGTACAAAACTGAGGGTGCTCCTGTGGCAGAGGCAGGAGTGCTCCCAGGAAGGAAAGGTATCAGCATTGAAGCCCCCAAGGATTGTTTAGGGTCTTCTCAGCAAAAGTGTGCATACTGATATATAGAAACATAAATAAAATATTAAGAGCGGTCAGATTTGGGATATGTAACGAAAGGAGAAAGATCTCTGTTCCCCCAGTGACAGCCAGGAGGATTCTTTTCTGCGGGGTGTGTGCGCACTCTTTTTAAGGGTGGGGGATGGGGAGAGAGAGAAATGTTTTCTTGTTTTAACAACTGGCATTTTGTTGCCTTGCAAAGGGCCTTTGTATGGCTGTCGAAATCATTGCTTGGAGTAAACAGAAGATTAAATTCTAAGAGTGGAAGCATTTGGGTTAAAAAAAATCTAAGTTGAAATAAATCTTTGTCCATCTCCCCAGGGAAATTTGTCATCACAAAGTCTGAGACATGTGAGGATACAAGTAGGAATTCGTGTCCGAGGAATCTTCAAAGTTTGGCTAGGGTGAGGATGGGAGGTGAGGCATATTGCTCATTCCCAGGGCTAATTAAGGAAATCGAACCTAATAGCACAAGTTTGTCTTGGGTAGGGTGAGGAGCTGTGAGATGCACATTTAAAATAGGTACTTTAGTACAAAATTCTATTTCAGATCCTACTGAAGAGCCTGGGAGAAGGGGGAGGGGATTTGCATGCCATTTACAGCGTTTTAAGACTGGTATTATGAAGAAGAGGAGGGAAGGAGCACTTTCCAGAAATCTTGAAAAGTGCATCAGAGTCTATTGTACAGAACCCAAAGCAAACAGAGACTCTGGGAGGGGGCACATCCGATTCTGAGGCTTAGGGAGTTGTTGGGAAAACTGTATAAAATACACATAAGTCAATTATACCCATGTGCAAACCAAATGGAAATCTCTTTCATGCAATAGCCATTCATCGCCTCCGCAGAGCCCACCACCGACCACCTTTCTGCTTGGAGAGTTCGCAATAGCCTCTTTTCCCACAAGCTGGACCACACACGGCTACAGATTTTGTAATAATTTATGCTAATTTCCCTCCATAAATCCACAATTCGCTTCAGTGGCACCCGAGCTGCTGAGGGAGTAAAAAGGAGACAGAGGGGTGACAAATACAATATTGATTTTGATTCCTTCTGTTGTCAAGCAGGTGTATGTGTGCGTGAACGGTGGGCTGGGGTTAGGGAGCGGGGGTGCTCGGAGAGGAAAACCATCCTGAGCCGGGCCAGCCCCTCTGTCCACACTCCAGAGAGTAACGTGCCCTGGTTTGTTAATATTTACCAAACACCGATGGGAGGTGGAGGGAAAGTACCCGGCAGCTTCCGAAGGTTTCCTAGGCGCCAAAAACAATACCCGTCTTCCCGACTTGGAAAGCGAACTCCCGGCTGCCTGGAGCGTTTGGGGGCTAAACTTAGTTTGGCTCTTCTCTTCCTCCACTCTCCCTCAAGAGTCGTTCCCTCCTTCTTGTGTTCTCCACCCCTGTCTCTCTCTCCTCCTTTCTTACCGCACTCCTGGCCCTCACTTCTCTTGCCCTATCCATCCCCTTTCCATTTTCTCTACCAAACGGGCTAGGAAATGCGCAGGTGGGGGAAAGTCTTCTGGCGAGCGCAGTAGGGATGGTAGGTTTTAGGGCCTCCTCCCACCCGCCCCACCTTTCCAGGCCGCCTCCCTAGTTTGCCCAAGTTCTCCACGCACTCTGGGAACCCGCGCTAACTCACCGCGCCGCTTTGTCCCTCCCATCAGTCATTCTTCACCAAATCTGCACTTTGGTGGCGTGAAACGACTTAGCTTTCCTTTCAAAAGGATTTTGTTCCCGGGGTATTCAGCGGTAAAACAACCTCCCTCGGCCTGTCAGCTGTCAATTTTTAAAAATTGTCGTTCTGAGTGTCCTGGAGACTGTCCTTAGAATCTGTGAGCTTCCACCGCCAGCACCTTCACCTGGCACAGCCCAGCCCTAGTGTTCTAGATCTGGGGACCCCAGAGGGAACCCACTTAGTGAGGTGACTTGGCTGGGGCCATGGGACATGGTCTTGCGGGTTCTAGGGCGGAAGAGATCT